TCTTTCAATACCTCTGCGGAAAGGCACATGTACGATACACGACATAAAAAATTATTGTCGATACCTGGGCATAAAACAGCTGCATTCAAAAACTCTCTATACTATAACTGTATTATTTTGTATAACTGTGTTCCTCAGCCTATGAAAGAAATGACGTTATCTTCATTTAAAAATGAAATAAAAAAATATTTGATGCTGAATGCTTTTTATAGTATAGATGAGTTTATAAATAGAAATAAATGACCTGTCAAAGGGAAAATAGGAGGAATGAGGAATCTAAATTATTTCCTCATTGTGTAAACTTTTTGTGTAGTGTAAGTATTTTGTTTTATCCCATATACACCTGACAAATATTTTGTTTTGTCTCATATACACCTGTTTTTTTGTGAAATTGACAAGTATAAGTTATATTATACAATCATATTTGTAAATATGTTCATGTGTGTAAATGTGATGATTCAGTTTTTATTCATTTTGTAACATGACTCTACATTTATTTGTGACATTTGTGATAGTTATTTGTGTGTGATATTTAAGTGACGTGCCAAATATACACTATTGTATCAAATATTGGTAAATAAATATTCTATTCTATGAACAAGAGGAGTCTGGCCAAATGCGCTCGACTGAGAAGCAAAGGCCAATAAATTCAAGAAGAAGCTCACGTCAGGGTGTCGGTTTTCCGTGACGGTCTGCCCGCGCATCGTAAAAATTTACTCATTTTTCCCTAACGCGCCAAAAGAAGTATAACTTAAAAAAAGCGCAGCTAAGTTTGAACATTTATAAAGTATTCGCATATTCGAATAGACGAGTTGTAGGTTGTGCATTTCTTTTTTCTCCAAATAATGCCTCAACAAAGTAAGCGTTTCAAAATCGATGTTCTGGAAGTATGATAGCAACAGCAATCTCAACATAATTCACCATATCCAACTTTGCTCCTCAAAAAACCAGATCGACGACCCAGTATCTTTTGAAGAAGAAACAAATGATCAGAAAATTTAACTCGGTCATTTTCTGAAGAAGAAGAGGAATCCTAACCAACTCAAATTCTATGTTCAGCGGCAACTTCAATTCCCATTGTATCTCTATTGTGTATTTGCTGAACAAATTGCCATCAACTATCGACCTCTGTGTATACACAACTGAAAATTCATAATTTTGTTGAATTAGCCCATTAACATGTTTATGACTATCTTGTTGATATATAATGCTAATGGGATCCGATATCTTCAACATCATAATTAATCAACCAGAGGTTCCCACCATTACCGACAAGAGAAAATATCTATTACTTTCAATTTACAATCTAGTTTAGATAATTCTCAATTTTTTTTTATTATTTGTCACTCTAGAATCAAGAAGTTATCACACACATCAAATGTGGAAGCCGTATACTGACGACACTTCAGTATTTCAGAATAAATTAAAGTGATTTACATTTCTCACGTCGTAACCACATCGTAAAAGTTGCCTTGCATGCGAAAATAATTAAACAATGGACTTCGAAAACGCATGAGTGAATCAAGAGACTAGGTGAAAAATTATGGAATGTTGGTAGACCAACTACCAACCGTTAGATATTTTAATTTTCGCAATTTCATAGCTCTTTCGTTTTTCAATGCTTCTCAACATGCGACCACTCGTTTCCGTCTTTCCCTTCATTTTTGAGAAAATTAGAAAAAAAAGAAGAAAGTTTGACGTTGAAATTTCAGGCCAAGGGGCCAAATTCACAAATTTTCTATAGTTTTTCCGTAAACTTCATTATTTCAGTTAGAAAATGCTGTTGAACCGAGATCGATATCTTTTTTGGGTCAGAAGTTATTCCTCTTTGAATGTTATTCAAATATCCACCAGTCGGACGCCACCCCAATTTGAAATTAGCTGATTTTAATATTAGGGAACGTTTCTCCGCCCCCATCG